AATTTCTTTCATGACAACATTAAATGGAAGGCTTTGTTACGTACGCATTATTAACGATGCCGCGTTTTAATCAACTTAATTCGAAATTACGATATATTTTCATTAAATCCAATAACATAGTACTCTCTTCGCTTCTAGATAAAACTTCGCATAAAATAATTAAAACATTTTAAATAAAATTTTCCACGTTTATTTTTACATGTATAAACACTTTTCCATTAATTTTATAAATTGCGACTGAAACCGCGATCAAAAGCAAGATAATGTAGTTTACCGTTATATTACATTTTAAAATATATTGAATAAAGCAGCGATTAATAACTAGAACGTGAAAATAATCGATTAAAATTGCATTCAAAGTAAAATTTATTTCGATATACTTATTCTATTAATTCTTATAGTGTTCAGTTTACACATATTTATTAATATTCATACATATTCCATAGTGAATACATAGATTCTAATGTAGTAATTATAATTATAAACAAAAATATATTTTTCTAATTATTATTCATAATATTCTGAAATGATTATTAAATCCATAAAGATTCTATTCGCAATGTGTTGACAGATTGTATTATACATGACGCAGTTAGTGCGAAAATTACGCATTAATTTTACAAGTCCCTCTGTATGTGCTAATTAGATAACTTACCCTTCTATCAAATGAAAGCGATAAAGTAGCTGCATGAAAGCCTCGAACGACATTATTAGAGTTGTTGCTTTCGCGGGGATTTGTTGCATATTTGTGACTTTATCATAAACTGCAGTCTGGTACGAAACTACCTTAACTCATCAGAAGAAAATTTAAAAAATATTTTTTCGTTTTTAACGTAATATTATCTTCTGCAATTTACCTGTATCAAATAAAATACAAAATATCTACATTGACAAATGAAACAATTTTTCAAACTCTTCTGCAATAAATAAATGTTTGTACCTATAATTCCGTCAGAACTTGCAATGTACTTATAAATAATACTCATATATTCACAACGAAAGAAGGAAACGTTTTCATTACAATTTTACATTTCTGTTTGTTATATTTATATCATTAACATTTATATTTCACAAATTTAAAATAAGGAACTTAGGGAACTAGTCGGTAAACTCATTTTCTAGGGACTGAAATTAATTGAAAGCAGCGGAACGGAAAATGAGATGTGCAAGGATAATTCTTCTCTTGGCTGTTTTGTCGGCACATTCGAGCGAGGGCTACAGAATTTTATGCATCTTCCCTTTCGCTGGACCAAGCCACTTCAGGATGTTCGAGGCGTTGTGCAAAGGCTTAGCACGGAAAGGACACCGCGTAGATATGATCAGCCATTTCCCGTCGAAATTACCGATCGCCAATTACGTGGACATCGTCGATTTGAGTGGGGCCAGGCAGAATATCGCTGACAGCTTCTCTGTGGAATACGGAAAGTCGTTGCAGAGATCGATGACTTATTACATCGCGACAAAGTTCGGTGGTGACTTGTGCGATCTAATGGGCCAAGAAAATATGCGGGATTTCATCGATAACCCGCCGAAAGATCCACCCTACCATCTGGTCATCACGGAGGTATGTGTTTCAAATTATAATCGTTCGGTCATCTTACCACTGAAACTACCAGACGGATCAAAATGGCTAATTCCAGATTTCTTCATTTTGCAATTATTAAAAAGATAACAGATGTTTCTCTGAGAAATTATTAAAGAAATTGATTTAACAATAGGCAAACTAAATTATAAATCAATTAACGTCTCAATAGACGCATTCTTGAAGTTTCTATAGAGGAATTTCACAAAGTCAATTTAACTGCTCGATAGCTTTAGGGTTAATAATACCGACATAGAAAGTCTTTTCAGAATATAAGTTGTTCGAAAACCATTGTCATTCTCATAGTGTTCATAGATGTTGAAATGACCTTATATGAAAAGAAAGTAGTTCAAATAGAAATCATATGAAAATAATAGTATGTAGTAGTAAAATAACCGTACGTATTGAAGAAAATTGCGATGATCTCGAAGTGGCATTCGAAATGACATTAACGTCACCTTGAAATGACCTTAAATATAAAAAAAGTAGTTTAAATATAAATTATGCAAAAATAATAAACTAATTGTAACAATAAAATAATATCACGCACTGAAGAAAATTCCGATGATCTTAAAGTGACATTCGAAACGACCTCGAGAGAATGTTTTCTTTATAGAGTCTTCTTTTGTGCCTGAAAATTAGAACTGGAGAATAATTGGAGTGACCTATTTATAATTTCTTATCAAAACTGGTAGATTATGTTTCTTAAGATTTGAAGTGACTGTTATCGTTGCGTTCTTTAATAGTTCGGACGTTAATTCCAATAATGAGACGCTTTGCATGTATCTTCCTGAAATACTGTAAATAGTTATATATTTGCTTCCCTTTCCCTGGAAGTCTACTTATGCGTGATTTACATTGCTGTTCGCAAACTACATGTATATTTGCTGTCAGTATGGACAGTTTTGCGAACAGCGAGCAGCGTGCAGTAAACTGATCAACGAACAGTGCTCGCTTGAATAGCGGTTCATCTAAGAATCTGACAGCGAACTCGGAATATGCGGACGCGTCTGCAACACGTTCCAACATATTTTTCGTGAATTTAATGATCACTTTACTTTTAACCTTGTGACGCACAAGTTTTTTTCAGTGTACGCACTATTCACGGACTTCAAGTTAAGTGTTATTCCTGTACAACTATCAAGATAAAATTGATACCATTCGATTCCTCGACGAAAGCTTCTCATTTATAGATACATGAAGTGAATTGTAATTAAAAAATATATAATACATTCACGGACGGTCTGAATTTTTTGTATGGTGTTGATATGAGCACTCCCAAGAAACTTAATTTCCATGTTTGTTACATGAATTGTTTTTATGCAATTTATCCATCTATTGCTATTGACAATAGACAGATGGAAGAAGTCCGCAAACATTTTAGATACGATATCGAAGTTCTCTCTACTTTAAGAATCATCACCATCTTTTAAGTGTCAATACCGTGGCTATTGAAGGTTTGACTGATTTATGTTTTAGAATATGCATGAAATTGACCTGCATGACACTACTATCTAGAAAACCCATTTGCAGTTTTTTCAATAATCGTGAGAGAAGAAACTTCGACTCGCTTTCGATTTGTTTTTGTTATTAGCCAAGTCACGTAAACGAAGAACGCAAATGAAAGAAACCGTTTATATAGTTATCGTTATATCTCAAAATGAAAATATAATTGTTTACATAGTTATCGTTATATTTCAAAATTAGTCGAAATATATATCTAACAATAAGTTGAAACTGAGGCACTAACGTTGCTATGACTACGGAGCCAATCATCGTGAGTGGAAGTTTTCTTCTTGCTCCTCTGCGTTTTTAGCTTGTTGGACATTCCTCAAGACAGGGGCTGTACTGCATCTCACTTACCCACATCAATTCGGAAACCGAATTCGCGTATATATTCGCAATTATTAGTCTTAATCGAATAAGCAGATGGGGTAATAAGTCATTAACACGATCAATGCCGCATGTACAACATATGAGTCGCTCAGAAACTAATGCGGTTAAGTCCACAGTTATTATACACTATATTCAGAGTAAGAAATGAGTAAATTCTTTAATCAACAAAAACAAAAATGTTATTTATTCCATTAAAATTTATATAAATCAGAAAATATCAAAAAATGGGTTTAACTGCATTGGCTTCTGAACAACTCATATGATACATGGTAAGTTTTGCAAGAAAATATTTTTATAAGACACGTGGCCGCGGATAGCAATGCACACGTTACAAAGCAGTTGAATGTAAAGAAATATATCAAAATATATAAAAGTCACTAAAAACTGAAATATAACTTAACCCTTTGCGGTCTAACGTCGAGTCTGACTCGACATAATATTTCCTTGCAGCAGGTCCAACGTCGAGTGTGGCTTGATATAGTTTTTTAATTTAAGAATTGTAATCATTTGAATTATTTCTGCATGTTACGTTTCGTAACACACGAAAAGGTTTCCGTGTAAAGTTGGGTTCCTGTCTCGATCGGAGAATGACACACGGCGAATTGTTGATATAAAAGTAATACTTTATTATAACTACACGGATTTCGAGGTTCCGCAACGTTTGTGAAAATAGCGCGTTTACGGAGTTGTTTCGCGAGGTTTCATAGCGTTTTCTCTGGTTCTCGTAGCATCATATTTTATGTAAACTTGGGTTTTTTTGGGATTTGTTAGTTGCATTTTTGGGTGGAGGAAATTTGTGTTTCGTCATTGATCAAGGGTGTATCTATTTTGCGTCTTAAAGTGGGAAATTGTTAAAAGTCTAGGTTCCTTTCGTCATCGTCGTGATTTATAACTCTTTGTTTGGTTCTTATGGTTACGGGTTTTTTCGGTGACAGCTCGTCGCTGCGTCAATTAATTAATTTACATTAACATTAATCAACAAAAGTCTTTCATTGTTTTTCAGCTTATTTTATACTTCGTCCTGCTTATAAATTTATTAAAACCGAGACAAAGTTCCTAGGTATATAGTAAATTAATAAAAGTGAAAAATTCATTCGGACCGCACTACTAGGAATAGGAAAAATTCATTTGGGCCGTAAAGAGTTAATATAATATTCAAAAAATCAATATACTTTATAAGCGAATTATAATTGAAATTTGCGGTGGCGTGAATGTGTTAATCATTTCAGTATCTTGGTGCGTCGTGCTACTTGGGTTTCGGTCATCTACTGAAGGCGCCAGTGGCGGTAGTCACGTCTTTCCTGCAGGCGCAACCTATCAACGATTTCACGGGCAACCCGCACAGCCATGCTTTCTTTTCGGGCGCATACAACGAGGATCCAACGGTGGTCAGTTTCATCGACCGGATTCGGAATCTGCTGTCGAATTTCTGGGGGACGCAGATGTTTTACCATTACACATCCGATCAAACCGCGGTAATGAGAAAGTATTTGGGTCGTGATACGCCCGACATTCGGGAACTGGAGCGCGCTGTCGCTCTGGTTCTTACGAACGACCACTATACCATCACTGGTGCCAGGCCAATTACACCCGTCATTGTGAACGTGGGAGGACTGCACGTCGAATTCGACGATTCGAAGTTGACCACGGTAATATACGAGTGAAATGGAGTCTAACGTTTGGGGATGTTTGTTTTTTTATATATGAATAAGTGTTAGTGCAAGGTCTGAGTTAGATCTGAGTTAGATCATTAATTAAATCGCTCAGAAACCAATGCGGCAAAGTCTAAAAAACAAGCATTAAGAAAACTAATGTTTCGGATTCTGAAATAATTATACAATATATTCAGAAACAATAAAAAGAAGGGCTTTCTAACCTAGGAAAAACGAAGAAACGAGTAGATCCTGTAACAACTAAAAAGAATAATCTTTGTGCCATTAAAATTTACAAAAATCAAAAAATATCAAAAAATGGACTTAATTACATTGGCTTCTGGCAACTCAATTAGCTCCAGTCATTTTCGACAGATCGAAGTCTAACGTTTGGAAATTCTTATTCTTGTTGGAAAGAATAAACGTTTTTATAGAGTCTGGGTTAGTTCCACGTCAGTTATCTACAGTCTTAAAATTGTTTTTACAATTGTATCGCTGAAATGCTTGATTGGTTCGTAGCTCTTTATTTTTTCAATACATTTCCTTTTTCTTGGGTTTGCTACTATGAAAGAAAAAACGTTCTTTTGACCATTGGAAAATTATAATGGTAATATACATAATTACGTATACATTAACTGAAGGGTATACTATCTTGCCCGTATCACGCATTCGTTAGACTAAAGTTACAACTACCAAGAAGGGAAAAATACATTGTATAATGTGTATTTGACCTTCCGTTTAATGAGGAGTTTTGAAAATCGATACATACTATTGTGTACTTCTCTATTGTTTACTCACGAAATACTGTGTATTTCTCTATTGTTTACTTTGCAGAGTTGTTTTTTTGGCCAATGAGTGGCCAAATTTGTGTCCAGTAATTTTCGAGATTTCTAATCTTGTTAACTTAAAGAAACATTTTTACAACGTTTGGGTTAGATAATTAATTGATCCCGATAATTCCTTTTAGAGATGTAATTAAATGATTAAGTAAAGAAATCTTTTTGATTATAAAAAGTAAGTTTTTAGTTTATATACAATTTTTAATTTATATAAAATTTCATCTCTTTAATGTAAATGAAAAAGTGTATTAAACAGATTGGTATTAATTTTGGTTTCTAAGGAACTTGAGGCATGGATGGACTCCGCGGATCATGGAGTGATATATTTCACATTTGGTTCCTTGACAAGAATCGAAACGTTACCCGAAAGCACGTTACAGGAGCTTTACGCGACTTTCGAAAAAATATCGCCTGTCAAAGTGTTAATGAAATGCGTTAACATTACGAAATTACCTGATGGTCTTCCCGGAAATGTATTTACCAAACCTTGGATGCCACAGATACCGGTGTTAAGTAAGTTAATCTATAAGAATGTCTATACTTTAAGTATTAGCATTACTAATCACATGTTTTCGAAAGTATGTTAAACTGTGTACCATTAGTTTCAATATTCAATATTCAATGGTCAGTATTCAAGAAACTTTTTTAAATTTGTATTCTCTTCTGTTAAATTACGTTTCCTTTCTTCTTTAACAATTACATATTAATTTTTTTTGTCATGCAATTTTATTTTATTCTTCGCTGGACTAGATACTTATCAAATGGTATTTTCATTTCATACATTTAATATAACAATGGACTGTAAAAAGTATAATCTGGTGAATTAATCGCATTAAGAAATTTGTGAAATGTTTGCGTCTTATAGAACACAAAAACACGCGAGCGTTCATCACGCACGGAGGTCTCATGGGAGTCCAAGAAGCTGTGTATTACGGAGTTCCGATGATAGGGATTCCAATATTCGCGGATCAAATGAAGAACATTAACATCTTTGTCCAAAAGAACATGGCGATTCGTATAAACCTAGACGATCTCACCGAACAGTCCATGGATTCTGCTTTGAACGCTATCTTGCACGATTCAAAATATAAGTGAGTACGTGACACTACTATTATTATTAAAATATCAATATAACAAACGAACATTTAAAAAAGTTCACGAATCATCTCTTCGTGAATGATATTAATGTCAACAAATTAAGAGGAACCGTTAATTCACTAGTATTCCCATTGATATATTCAAAAGCGGCTTTAAAGGTCGTGTCCAATAGGAAACGGTTCCCAATTGCCCAATAATGGGCGCACGTCAGTATCAATATGTCCTGCTGAAGCCAGTTGCAATGATTGCGAAACGTTAGGAATAATTTTTTACTGGACACGGCTCTCACCCGAAAGCCACTTTTGAATATAACATTCCACGCCGTGAAAGCATTAAAGCTAATAATCCCATTGAGTTTCCAACTTAAACATTCCAACCAACTTCTCTCATGAATTACTTCAGTCACTTGAAATTAAAAACAAACTGAACCGAAACTGAGAAAACTGAACATTTTACTGGCTGATTAAAAAATCCACTCAACAGTATATACCAAAGTAACGAATTTTTTACGAGTGAACGGAGAAACAACTATCGTCGAAACATTTTGAAGCGCCATTCATTTTTTTGGTACTTTTAATAATTGAGTAGGAAAAAAACAAATTTTTATGCTTATTCCATGTCTACGTTTACTCCAAAGGTTAACGATTGATAATAGAAAAATAATGTTTAATTTATATTTAAAAAAAAGCAAATAACACTTCAATTTGTCGAATTCAGTTTAACACTTTCACTGCCAAGTAAATGCTCATCAAAATTCCTATACAGTCGAAACAATCTTAATAAATCCGAAATTAAAAGGTCAAGGTTCTTCATAACGATTTATCTACTTTCTCATATCTAATGTATCTAACAAAATTCCGTTCGTCCAATAGGTTACCAAGAAAGTTACTATGTATGTAAACAATGCTGTCACCCTAACTCATATAACGTAACAGTGAAAGTATGAAAACTTTCGTCACATGTCTGACACCTCTCGAATTTCACAATAAGTTCAGTTAAATAGAACATTTATTTACATAAAAAGTATCATATAAACGGAAATTACATTTACACGCCACTGATCCACGACAGCCCAAAATACTTATAATTCTCTACGAGAATTGATTGTATAATGCATTAAAATATTAAAGAAAAAAGGAAAGAGTCTGACACGATATTGTAGGTTAAGAGGCCAATAATAATCCTCGCCCTCTGTACACGTTATTTGCAACTTGCAAGGATAAATTCATTGAACAGAGTGTTCAAGGGTCACTTGGCGTTTCAGAGAATCCGCTAGAAGACAATCAGAACTGTTTCGTGATCGACCGATGAGCGCGATGGACACAGCTACTTATTGGATCGAGTACGTGATCAGAAATGGACCAGACTCATTAAGGTCGTCGGCGGTGGACATGGTCTGGTGGAAACGAAATCTGCTCGATGTTTTCTCTTTCTTAACGATTTCCTTGGTCCTGGTCACTTTCGTGTTAATCAAAGTATTCATCGTGTTTGTAACGAAAATCTGTGAAAGTAGTATTCGAATCGAAAAGAAAATCAACTAAACGAAGACGAATTGAACGCGACTAGAAAGAAAGTACTGAAACAATTTAGCCGATATGGTAATGGCGGGGTGTTGATTTAAGGGCAAATTTTCACGGGAGAATGTCTTGAATAATAACGATGCTTCGATGAAAATGGAATCTTGCAGATCTGGAAAGTGTTGCGAGCCTCGGGTCTCTTTGAACGAGAAACTATTTCACTTTTCCTTGAACGAACGATTTCACTCTTTCCAACAGTCCTGTTAAAACTAAAGGAAAAGTTTCATTATTTGTTTCGTAGTAATTACAGGCGTCACTCTGTGCGATACGGACGGTTAAATACTGTTAATTTTAAAATGAATTTGTAGAATCTTTGAATTATAATTTTGGAATGATTCCTTTGAAGTCAGCAAAGAACTGATTGTTCTACGTGTAAGATAAGTTATTCGATCAGTTATTACACGTTTATGCATTCATTATAAGAGGATAGTTTAGTTTGAAGTTAATAAAACTAATGACAGCAGAAATGTCAATTTGATTGTCTTCTATCTTTGTAGATTAATTTACAAATACAGATTATTTTGCTTCCTTTTCTCATAACTGAAAGAAATAAGGATTTGTTTGATGCGATAAGAGTTTTCCGGGATAAAGGGTTTTTTTTCTTATTGAAATAAAATTCAAATTAACTGAAGTATCGGAGCAGAATGAAAAAGATTTTAGAACGAAACAAAAGCGTCCTAAAATGAAGTATAACTGATCTGAATCGTCGATGAAACAGTTTTAATTGGAAATAAAAGAGGGGAAGGTTGAAAAGTGATGCCTGTATACACGACGTGCAAAACTCGCGTCGAAATACTGTGAAATCAAATTGAAATTTGTTCAAATTCACAATTTTTAATTAGTTGAAATGAATATATCAAAATTATTTCAATTAAGGCCGTTTCATCGACGATCCAGATCAGTTATACGTATTATGTATATGTCCAAGCCACAATTTTACGTAATTTCAACGATTTATTATCCATAAGATATTGTTCTATACAATACTTTAATGGAAAATCACTGACTTCGAGAATTTTATTTTCATTAATTGTGACACTTTTGTTTTCAACTCTATTATCAGTTATAAGGCAATGATTATATTACTTATATTACATCTTTAGTAATGTATTACACAAAGACCGTAATAAAATATTTGTTCAATAGCAACTCGCAATAGATAACAAGCATTTCAATGATTACACAGATAAATGGTATTCATTTAATGACTTCGCTATAAATTATATTTCACAATACAGATAATGATGTATGAAACATAGGTATGATATGGATACCGTGTGTAAGCACAATGACGAAGGGACATTTGTTGGACATTGTGCAATATAAACGGAAGACAAAAATGATTGATACTCTAAAAAGTATTCTTATGTCACATTGTAGATATAAAACGTTAGTATTTCATTATTACTATCGGTATGATCTACGACACGGTAAACACTTTGATTGATACCATAAGAGAAGACTAGTATGATGTTTATTTTACATCATATTCCCTGAAATGTTTATTTTAACATTCATTATATTTAATCTTTCTTTAAATTAGTCCTTTCAAATAGAAATATAATTATAATATTTAAAATTCAAAGTATTGAAAATGAAACTATTTATATCTTAATAGATCTTACTAATCCTATACTAAGTCAAATTATTTTCAGTCGTTTTACATATTTAAGAACTTATTTCGTAAATATTCCATTACAGTTCAATTCAATTTATGATGGTTCTTAGTGTTTTAAGTACTGAAAGGAAATAGATATTAAGCATTATTTTTTATAAATGCATTATTGTAGTAGGAACGAAGATGCAGGTCATAAAATTCGCAGAAAACTTTTCTTGTTCCATTCATATTCCATTCCTGCGATATTGATATGTAATTAATAATGACACCGCAGGTACGTATTTTGTTGAGGGTAGATTCGTCGCGAATACCCATAGCATTGCAGTGACTTGACGGTTCAACCAAGCTAAAAAAAGCTCCCCCACTTCTCATCTTATTTTACATCTAATTTTCAAAATTACATTGTCACGTATCGTTTCAATGTCTGTATGACCTGGTCCTTTCATGTTAATGAATTATGTGCATAAATTTCAGAACACTGTATAATGTTCGTTACACTTCCATATTATTTACGAGTAGATTTTAAAATTCAGATGAAGTGTTAGTTAATTACTGTATATCTATACATAATTTAAAAACTGTTACGGAGTACGCAAAATATATTACTAAACGCAAGAAAATTGTCTGGAAAATAATCTATAATATCGAAAATTAATCTGAAATTATTTGTTGTATCAATGTCGTATTTTGCTTAACAGAAAGAAAAAAAAATGCCCTGAAAGTTCTTTCCAAGCAAATATCGTAAATATTTTGCAACATGCAAAATAATCAAGTTTCATCGACAGTTTTCGATCGACTCCTCGAACAGTATCAAATTTAATTGTCGAAATATTTGATTAACCCTTTGCGAATGACTATCTTTCTAATGGTCACGCAAACATTAAATATCTAGAATTGGAAGTTGCAAGTAAAGAATTCAATCATTAAAAAAATAAAACAGTGGTATATAATTTCGTTATTTCTAGTACCTAACAATTCAATATCTAATTTAGCTTTCAATGGAAAATATTCGTAATGCTTCTAAAAATCCTTGTCCGCGAACGGTTAATTTCTTCTATACGTGATCATTAAGTTTTCCTACTTCTCATTTCGCGGAATAAGTCGTTTCGACGAATGAATAGCTAAACACAGGCCAAAACCTGCTATCTAATATTCAGCGCCTATTGTACTCGAAGAACGTCGTGAAGTACAACAACGGAACACCTTCGAAAACCCAACAAAACAATCTTCGATGCCACCTACCAATACATATCTATATATAAACTACCGCGTGTATTGAACGGGACACGTGCCAGTATCGGAACAATATTTACGAAGCTGCGTGTCACGGTCATCAGACAATTTAAACGCTCGAAATCGCTAGTTGGCTAATGATACAGACGTAAAAAAACATACAAGTAATCGCGTATCATCGTAAACAGAAGCGGAGGACCAACCGTAGACAGTTCTTCCTGGTTATCGTAACAAAACAGATGTCCTGAACGATGGGTGAATAACAATCATATCAAGAGCGAGTGATAAATCAGTGCACGCCCCGTTCGATCGAGGAAAGGGAATCACCTACATCCAGACAATCTTCACCCGGATGAAAAAGTAACAGCTTTATCGCTGTTCTTTCGTCCAGTAATACCGAGCACTCTCCTTCTTCCATTGCGGCCGAAGGTAGGAGCCTCAAAATTATTTAAGGCGCCGAAACCTGAACACGGGAGCTCAGTACAGTATCGACGGAGTGCGAGGCCGACACAGTTCTATTTGCCCAATACGAAATCGTGCTACGCAATTGAACTATTGACGTCAGATGAGAATCCCTCGCGCCGCACGTAAGCCTCGTAGACCCTCTCGCGAGTTCCCTCTTATCCGTGTCCGAGACCATCATGAACTCAGAAAGCTGACCTCTCGATCTGCCGTCGGTTGATTCTGAACGATCAGTTGGATTTCGAGTTAAAGGATTCGAAGTGAATACCGAGCTACCTGTTAGAGGTCAATTTGTCCTGGGACATAGAGAGTGGAACGTTTTGTAGTGACTTATAAGAGGGAAATCGAATCGAAGAACAAAGTGACAGTGAAGTTTGGGCAAGATGAAGCTGTTTGGGTTAATCTGTCTTTGGGCGGTGTTAACCACCTGTCAGGGCTACAGGATACTAGGTCTGTTCCCGTTCAACGGGAAGAGCCATTTCGTAATGTTTGAGCAGATGATGAAGGCTTTGGCTAGGAAGGGACACCACGTGGACGTGGTCAGCACGTTCCCTTTGAAGAAACCATACAAGAATTACAACGACCTGGTCGCACTGAAGGCTTCCTGGCAGTTCCTGAATAACATGACTTTTAACGACATGAAGACGATGCTGCTACCGGGCATTAGCCAGGCCGTGGCCCACTTATGCGGGAACGAGGTCTGCAAGTTCCTGAGCCACCCGAGGTTACAAGAGCTTGTGAAAAATCCGCCTAAGGACCCGCCTTACGACGTGGTCTTCGTGGAGGTAGGGAATCAATGATTCCTTCTTTTTTCATTCAACACTTTGACTGCCGCGTCGCCTGAATTCGGGTGACACGACTTTTTACGTAAACTTAACACTAGATTTGCGAAACGAGTCAATTTCACTTCTATCGAGTTTTGTAAATATTACTTGGTAAATGTTTGGCTCGATTTTGATTGGTGCTGCTATATGTGCATTAACATGTATCCTGATTGTCTACTTTTAAACCTCTAATTTCCAAGATCTGAATGAATGAATATCGATTTTTTTTAACAAATTGCACATTTAGTATTTTTTAACAAAATGTCCGCGAATATAGTGTTAAACGTTAATTTTCTTGGTGATATAACAAACGCGCAGAATTTTGTTCGAAACGAGGACAATGGAGCAATCGTTATGAAGAATTTTGACTTTTCAGTTTCTGCTGCATTAAGAAAACTGTTTCAACTGCATAGGAGTTTTAACACTAAACGTCCCGCGAACGGTCAAGTGACCGGTTTTGAAATTTGATTAAAGTTCTCCGTTTTTCTTCGTTCATTTCACATCAATTCAATTCTCATATTACCACATTAATCAGTTTTTCAATTCTTGTCTTTTCTTCTGTTTCTGTTTAAAATAAGAAATAATTATTGTTTAACTTGTTTACCTTTATTATATAACTAGTTATTTGACTAGTTACGGTAGGTAAAGGTATATATAAAGTGTCGGTACGTTTAGTGTTAACGAGTAAATTTTCCGGATGGATCGCATTGTACTTGGTAAATACTTGTTTAACTCGTTCACCGCCGAATTGACAGTCACCAAATCGTTTTGTACAATCGATGCCATTGTCCTGGGGAAATAGAAGGTTAGAAGTCAGGATTTTTCACAGCGATTACTCTCTTGAAATGTAGAATTCCGTGCGGATGACCGGTGATCCACAATTAAACGAAGTTACATAGTTCGAAACACCATAATTATTTGAAAACTCTTCTATATTATAAGTGATGCAATATAAAGCAATAACAGTCAGAAAGATAAACGTGCACAAAAATAGCCACGTTATTCAATTACATAATTTAATATTATCTTTTGCCATTCACTGAAATTGCCCAACGATATTGTACTTCTGTTTGTTTGGAAACCGATTTTTGGATGAACGCAACCTCTTTGTGAACTTCGATTGGAGAAATTGGAATTGGGGTAAGACGATTGTCGATTATCAGTTGACAAACAATAATAATGAAAACTTAATAAGATTAATCAATTATGTCTTTTCCCATTTTAAGCAGACATTTAAGTCGCCAGCTTATAAATCAATCTCTCCTCTGATATTCGAGTTTATGGTTTAAAAGCCAATGGCTTATCAAAATATGATACATAGGGTGACACATACGCTATAATACGAATAATAGAAATAATCATTCTAATTAAGCAGAATATCTCCCCCAGTTTCTTAATAAAAATATTACTAAATATAATGCATGGAAAGGTTTCTCATATATGTAGCTTTCATGCGAAAGACCGCGAATGTTTTGTAATTATAAAATTATTATAGTAATTTACATACATATACTAGCTTATCCTGTCTATTATTTAAAAAAAAAACACTGCATACAGTGTTTTTCAAAAAGAATATTTATCTCTCCTCTTCGTACATACTTTCAACTATATGTTGCTGATATTCTACTACACAAGGAGAAGTCAAAGTCAAATGCATCTATCTTTTGAAGTATTATTGCGTTACCAATGACTGACATTGCACTAAGTATTTTGCCCTTCCTCTACGCGCATCAGTCTTCTCGATAAGATAATTCGATTCTCTTCTACCGACTGCTTTTAATTTTTGTTTGCCGATCTTTCTATCGGTTATCGATGTGTACCGAGATATACTAATAGACACCTAATATTTCTTACATTCTGTAATGAACGCCTTCATGATTTTTACTCCACGAAATCTTTAAAAAAATTTTCAATTTTTATGTTTTCTTAAAAACTATCTCCAGTTTCTTTGTTTTTCCATTTCTTCGTGATTTTTGGAAAATCGTATTTTCAATTTTCCAGACATTTTTTTACAGCTATATTAGGCATGTCATTATCATCCTTATCATCCTATTAAATAGAATATTTGAAGTATCTAATGAAATTTTTGAAACAACTGTTGGATGACCAACCTAATGACGCACCATAGATGAGCGTCCTAGACCCGCCGCGTCCAAAATATCTTACTCAGCATGTTTTTCACAAGTCCAAAATCCTAGATAAAATACACAAATGTCTCATTCAGGACTAGTCATCTATAACGAGTCATCAGGTACCAAGGGTCATCGACATCCCCTCCTTAGCGAAAAGTTTAGTATATAAGAATTGGAATCTCTAGGATAAGAGATAGTTATTCTTTCAACCCTGTTGCTTAGCCGTCTGTCCGAAATTGTCTGTTTCCGCGTCGTTCGATGTGTTATATCCGGAGAATACGTTGAAACGTCGGAATATAATTATTATTAACGAATCGAACTTCACGTCATTCACCCGGATCCCAGCACAATGTCATTGTTTTTACAATATGTAAATATTGGAACGATCGAGTTATTAAGAAACGAGTAAGCAGTAAATATTTATATAACGTTAGTAGTTTCAAAGAGTAGAAGATAAAGCTTAGCAAATAGTTATTTCTGGGCTTCATTTGTTGCTTTATCATTTCAAACAGTAGTTTCCGAACAGTTCCAATTTCGCAGAGATTCGTCGGTGATAATTTCTGCAATCGCATATAGTACTTTCGACGATACGATTCCCTTGCTCTATTTTTCAACGGCAAATAACTAATTGTTTGGTATTCCAAGCTGCAGTTACCAAGAAAGTTCAAGAGCGCCGTAAAGAACTTGCTGAATCGTAAAGTACATTTACTGAAGCCAAGAAACTTGATCGTCATTTAACGTTTTCACGTCATTAATCTTTAGACCGCGGCGCGCTCTCGGAGGAAGCCATCAATACGACGCGTTATTTGCATGCAGTCGCCGCGACTGGTCGTCCACTGACTTGTGACCAAAAGAGTACTGGGAGATTTAATACCATTCTTAGGGTTTAAAAAAATAATAATTGCAAATACATTAAAATATCCATTTTTTTATTTGTTTTAAGTGACTTTTTAAGTAACTTTAATTTACTTGACTTAATTTGTACATTATTCTTTCAATAATAATAGGTGGTAATTGAATATAAAGAAGAAAATCGAAAATTGATAATAAGGAACAAATTCATTTTGACAATTTTAACGTAAAATAAAAAAAATGCAGAGGGCGCAAATTTACGCCTTTCGTATATATTGATGGATATGTGAGGGCATATATTTACGCCTTTCGTATATATTGATAGACTTGTGAGAGCGTATATATATATACACGCCTTTAGCAGTTAAAGGGTTAAATGAAATTTTCTTAATCCGTTCACGTGTTCTAAGGCATCGTGTTTCTCTCCGCAGCACTGGAGTAATCTTGATCAATTCAAACAGAGATCAAATGTATCTGTTCCACGTGAACCCTCTTATTTTTAATTATACACGTGTAAGAAAATTTGGTCTGGGTAAAATGTCACGAAAATGAGACGCACGAGCCGGGGTGAACGACCCGGATGTAACTTGACGCCGAAGGACTAGGTCGACTTCGGTCATCGGAAAAGTGCGTCGCAGCTCTCGAAGGCGACAAAGATGCCGCCTTCCTGAGCCGAAATTGCCCTGATTCCGAATCAGACAGACGCACGTTCCACGCCTTGTAGAACAGAGACATTCCTGACGTAGTTTTTAAATGTAATTCTAAGTTCGTGCCTCTTGTCCATACAGTAGCCTTAGTTTTTCGGTATTATTTACATATGACAGTAAAGTCAATAAGGAGTAACTAGCACAGAATTTTTTATTGTATAGTAGGAGAATAAATAATGTAGAAATAATATATGATTTTTAGTTACGCAATAGTAAAGTAAATAAAGCATATAATTTTTCATTGTATGACAACAAAACGGATAACGTATGAATAGCATACAGTTTTGAATAATGAACTAGCAAAACAGAATGAACAAAGCGCAAAGTAAGTAACCTCTACGTTTCACGAAGACTACGAACTTAGATGGTTCTACAATACACGAGACAATAGGACGATCAACTCAACGCGAGAATAATTAACGATGATTCTCTATCATGGAATGTGAGCGTACAATTATTTCTATCTAATACTCGTTATCTTAACTTACGAATTCATAAGCAACCGGCGCTCGGATATTACCAGATAAACGTCATTTACGTGTATTTAAAGGAAAGATTCCGCGTTCCCCAACAGTAATTCATTGCTTGTTATGACATTGGTATTAATGATACTCCACGTTGAATCGGTTCAAGATAAGAGGCATCATATAAACAAAATCGTTGTTACACGAAACAATGTATTGTCCTTTGAACTGTAAAAACGTTAAAAACCATAAAAAATACATAATATTTTATATACTATTTACAATATATAAGAATTAACTAATTAATTAACGGTTGACAATTTTCTATTAACTCTTTGCGGACAAAGACTGTCTTAAATTTTGAACATTGCATTTCATAAAAAAACTGAACGATGCATCGAGGTTTTACGTATTAAAAAAGAACAAACCACATGTCAGTATCTCGTTGGTTGAATAATTAGATTATTCATCTGCAGTTTTCGATTTTAGATATTGAAGCTTTAAGTCGCTACGACGACATTCGACCGCAAAGGGTTAGTTACTTTCGTCAAATTCGATGAGGTGAAATATAATATATTCCGTATTTTTTCCAGATATTCGGAGCACATTGTTTCATAGCGATCGGTCACTTGCTGAAAGTGCCGGTGATAGGGGTGAGCTCTGCGACCCTTTATCCGTGGCACAACGACATAATCGGTAACCCGGAGAACCTTGCCTTCGCGCCGAACAATTTGCTCTCATTCTCTCAGCCAATGAGCTTCTTAGACAGGACCTACAATTTCCTGCACACTACGTACCATAAATTGAACTTCCAAAGTTACGCGAGCAAACAAACCGAGATTATAAGGGAATACTTCGGCGAGGACATGCCGGACATCAGAACACTGGAAAGAAGTGTCGCGATGATCTTCGTGAATTCGTTCAGATCCATCAACGGGATCAAAGACTCGACCCCCGGATACATCGAAGTTGGTGGAGTGCACGTCCAGGAGGACGGTGTCGAAGTATCACCTGTAACTGTCGTTTTTTAACAAGTCCATTGCTGATGCGACCGATCGATCACGTGGATGATAAGTCGACGAGAGGACCGATCGGTCGCAAGCTCTTTTCGTTTAACAGATTCCTTACCATCGGAAATTTCAGTTATATCTTGCTCATAAAGTGCATTGATTTTTTAAATGAAATATTAAGTTACACTCAAGTTTTTGGTGACTTTTACATATATTTTGATACCATTTCTTTACGTTTTCACTGCTTCGCGACATGTGTCCCTATTCTTTAACACATGTCTCGCGAAAAAGGTTTCCTTAGAAAAATTGCGCGTGTACGACAAATGGTACACGTGGCATCGAACGTGTTAACCGGTTAACTGTGTTTGATGAGTGTATACGTCATTTTAAAGCTGCAAATGATATTAATTCTTCCAACGATGAATTCTTTATTTTTTCAAATAAACACGCAATTCTTCTTTGGTTTGCTTCGGTTTTTTTTATTAAAGTATACCCTGGTGCTTTCGTTCTGCGTTCGACGAGTACACACTTCGGTTTTTCATTTTATTGCATGCAAAATGAGAAATTTTTCAAACTGAATTCCACAGTTAATAGGTTAACGCGTTCATTGACAGAGCATTCGATTCATTTTGTCTACACTGATAAGGAAACTCAATACTCAGTGACAATGAAAACAACCGATACTACGTGCATTTTTATTACATTAATTTGATATATTGATAATGAACAGTTCACTTCAAGACTCATCTGAAAAGTGCTGAACTTTCGCCTGTATCTCTAGAACGAATGCACTTATCGAAGTGATACAATAGGAAATGGAAGTACGTCAGCTACAAGATGTATATTTAAGGGTATTCCGTTGATATCGTTGTTCGATATGGCACTTAACGAACTTATTAAAATTTCGTTTCATTCTCGAGACATAGGTGAAAATCCATTTTTACATTCCAACTAACCTTCACATTTTAAATACAAATGCTTTGACGCTAGAACGTACTCGGCCAGACAAATTGGCAACAAATGTTTATTGCTTATTGTTAATTTTATGTTTTTTATACAATTATTAACCTTTTCCCTATACGTAATTGGAGACCAAATTTCAAGAGAAAATATTCCAAATTATTAAAGAGAATATTGAATGGCACGTAGTTCAAATGAAATGATTCTCTAAGTAGGAAATAAGTTTTCAGGAGATAAAGATTTTTATTTGAGTAATCTGTGCTCGACATTTTTAGTAATTATCACCATAACATAAAAGTTTTGATTCATATTCCTAGAAAATTGCTGCTTCCTTGGAGCAGATAAATGGTGTTCAACGTATTATCATACTGAAATTTCTTCTCCTGTTTTGCGGTAACTTCGGTTGCTTTCGAGTATATGTTTTCATCGTTAATTCGAAAAATCTTTGAAGCAGACAAGTCATTAACATGTTCTAGACCTTCGTTTTCATTCTCAAACTTTTTTATTCTTGAAAGATGTACATTACATTGATCAATGTAGAAAAGTTCAAGAAAATATATACATTTGTTTATAACATTCAATAAATAAATCAACGTTAAACGAAAAGAACGGTACAGCGACATAAACAACATCTTTCTGTTATTTATTTCATTAAAGAATACCTTCATATGATATAAGTATCTTTTAGCCTTTTATCTTGTAAGTAAAGTAAATGACACTTTTCAGAGCTTAGAGAAGTGGATGAACGAGAGTACGAGCGGATTCTTTTATTTATCATTCGGATCGATGATAAAGATTGAATCCTTCCCTATAAAATTTCTCAATGTACTGTACAAGTCCCTGGGAAAGCTAGCACCGGTCCGGGTCTTAATGAAAATACCGAGTCCCAACGAACTGCCGCCTGGCCTACCAAAGAATATTCTCACGTCACCGTGGATACCACAGCTCAAAGTTCTGAGTGAGTTGTCCTTCTTGAAAGTATTAAATGAGCCAAAAAACGGGACGTAAAATGATATTATTAAATTTACACATAAATAATATTCACTTTGAAAGATGAAGATTCGATGAATAATAATCCAACGAGGTAGATAGAATTCTTAAAATCAGGAGTAAATTCTTTAAATATAAATGCAGAATTCTGAATCGGTGAAGACGACTAACTCTTCTGCCTGACATGTTGTAAATTGTGGCATATTTAAATATACATTGGAACGTTTATCACAGTCGGCATGCATATGGAAATGTAGTTTGCTTTTCTCACTTTTGAGCATAACCTCCATTCGTTGGAAAAAGTTATTTTCTAGTGTTCATGATTTTTACATTGTAAAGTACACGTGATACGTTTTTATAAGATTTATCGAGCGGTTAGAGTACCTTAACATTCAATAGAAATGAGACACGTGTATCTACTGAAACGTTGAATGCGATTAAGTGCAATTATGATAAATAAATAAATGGATAATACAGGTTGTCAGAAAGCTGTATGATTACATAAAATTTGTGGTTGCAGAGCATCCGAACATAAAGGGGTTCATCACACATGGCGGACTTATGGGTACCCAAGAAGCGATTCACTATGGTGTCCCTCTTATCGGTATACCCTTGTTCGCTGATCAATTTATCAATATCAAGAATTACGTGCAGCAAAATATTGCGATTGAGATAGACCATAATACCTTAACGGAGGAGAAAATGGACAACGCTTTGAATGCCGTTTTGCATGATCCTAAATATCGGTAATTTGTCACTTTATCTTGACAACAGTATTTCGATGACAACACATACCTGTCTCAAAAAGTTTACAGACAAATTTATAAAAATTTTCAAGGTTTCCAATTTTTTTCAAAACTTTCCGACTGTTTCAATTATTTTATTAATTGATTAAATCAAAATTTATTTTAATTTAAATGAATTGACTAAGTCAATAGTTATATTGATTATGACGTCAGTCATATTCAAGCGAATTCAATACGGAAATCAATGTTTATCGTGTACAATCATGAACAACGTTTTATTTTCCAGTGAAAGCGCCCGAAAGTTATCCAAAATGTTCCTAGATCGTCCTATGAATACAACGGAAACCGTTGTTTACTGGACTGAATACATTATCAGGCACGGCGCAGATGCGCTCAGGTCACCCTCTATGGATCTGACATGGTGGCAAGTGCAGCTTCTGGACGTTTACGTATTCCTCTTATTCGTTGCGCTTCTCTCGATTATTCTCCTAATAAGCGCGATGCGATTCGCGTTTAGCATGATAAGTGTAGAGGAAACTGACTCGCACAAAAAGAAAATTTCATAATTTCAATCACTTTGTAATAATAATAGGTAAACTTCATTAGGACAAATTCATTTAAACTTTATATACTGCAGTTCGATGACTGTTCAGTGAATTTCAGGTGAATTTTATGAATGTATAGTACCTGCGGTTACGAGAAATACGAGTTAAGGAGTATTTTTATTGATATTTTAAGGAATTAATCAAGTTTTAACGGTAATTTAGACGAAAAGTGCTTTATGCTGCGAAGTATCAATTTACAAAAATATTCACAGTTTAGCGGTTATATTATTTGTTGTATACGTATGGAGAAACATCAGAAATACTGTACATATTTAAATAGTAGAATTTACATAAATTTAGAATTCCGTTCGACGATCTTTTAAGTTTAATCTCAGACGTACTCGCTCGGGAGTGAAGAGTGAAAGCTATAAATTAGTGGAAAGTGATGACACATGCCTGTCAGAGAAATCTGGTATTTTCCACAGTTGCTGGGTCATGTCGGAACTCCTAAATGGACATGCAGCACAACTTCATGTGTTGAATAGCGAATAGTAAAATATGCACTGTCTGGAACGGTTATAATTCCCTTTTTCACCGAACACAAGTTTACGATGTTCAGTAGTTCATTATAAAAAGAAGAAAATATATGTAAGGGAAAGTTGAAGAATGTTATATATCTTCCCATGATAATAAATCCAATGATTTATTTATCTACTGTACAGTCATTGTTAATCAACGAAAGGAAATCACAGAAAACAATATAAAATATACGTTATTTATTCTTTATTTATAAGGACAAACATTATAGGATCGAAGCTGCGGACCACAATTCGTATGTTTCTCGAAAATCTTCTGTACAGCTCAATCGACGTTCACACAATTATTGATAATATTGACGTATACGATTAATTAATATTGAAAATCTTAAACAGATGTGAAAAAATATAAATGTTACACAATTTTTGTCCGCTGCAATGAAATATTATCCTTCTGTTATCTATTGTTATTCTTTAAAGTGAACGTGCACGTAGATTATGAACATGAAATTTGACCTTGTTTATAGCAAATTAATTTTAGCGAGCGCGATAGTGATTACTAAATTCACGAGATTATTTTCAGAGAGAACAATCGTGAAACCGTGGAATTGGACGTATGATGTTGCACGTATGGCTGTGACACGTGTCACGTGAAAAGTTTAGTGGCATTTTTATATAACTTTCGAACGGTAAGTGGCATTGACGTGAAATTTAGACTGAATATTGTACTAATAACAAGTAAAGAACAAATGAAAAGAATGCCAAAAATATTTTTTTGGCAAACAACCATATGATTATTATCATTCTTAAAATTTTGACCATATTATTATTAATAACATTCTCAAAATTTTGACTACATTATCATTACCATGTTATTATTAACGTTTTGTTAGTTAATTATCAATTCTCCAGTTTCTTGTTTCAAATTTCCCCTTTTTTTAGTATATGACCTTAAAAGCATACTACAGCTACAAGGGTGTGCATTTTACTTTGCAATGCTCATTTTGAAAATATGTATTAAAACTCATTAAACCCTTTTATTTTTGGAACTCACGGATATTTGGGGAGTAATATGAATTCAATAGACGTCGATAATAGCAAGTCGATTTGTTAGCGAAATAATACTGATGCGACAGTAATTTTTCGAAAGTACATTTTCGCCGGCGGTGGGAAAATTTCACCCTTTACAGCGGTTTCGGTGTCAATTTACGAGACGCTAGCGAACGAACGGTGCTGTTTTCTCCGCGCGAGCAGCTGCGGAATTGCTAGAAAGAGGAATGGAAATGAAAACCCGAACGGACATGCCGCGAGCTTGTTACTCCCTTCCGTTTGTGAAACGAGCCATGTTCGCCCCGGAGTTAGGTGATCACGCGAACACCGAATCTGATTTAAAATGACGCTGAACCGGATTGAAACGGTCCTGGAAAGATTCCAAAGGAAAAACAGAAGATGAATCGTAGTAGAAACACGATTGAATCGAAAAAGGAAAGCTGGAACATTTTGACGAGGACTGCAGGATAATTGTGGGAGAATGAATTACGTCATAAATGGCACGTGCACGGAAACTATTTTGTTCTCTCATCGTCTTGTTGGATTGCATAAAAGGTGAGTCAACTGTTTTCCGTCTACGTTGTTTAACACTGAAACTACCGAATAGTTGAATTGACTTTTTGAAATCCTCCTGTAGAAACTTCAAGAGTACATCTATCGAGACTTTAATTGATTTATAATTTAGTTTGCGTATTGCTAAATCAATTTCTCTAATTAATTAAAAGTATGGTACTTTCTCAAACAATTTCCAACGTTCTATAACAAATTTGTATTATCATCTCGAGCATGACATAGAAGTGAAAAAGTAGGTTTCAATTAACCTTCTGCCTGTGTCACGTGCGGTACGTATCAAAATCTGATATAGCCGAGAGATTAATCGGTTCTTAAATACCGAATACTTACCAACTGATATCCTATTAAAATTACACTGTTCTAAAATAGAAGAAATTAAAATAACATAATGAGACTCCGTCATATTTTATTTTAAAGCTGTAGAGCTTTACAAGTAGAAATGTACACTCCAACGTGATAGGGGAAACTATACCGATCTTTTAATAAAGTTTGTACCGATTACACGCGGCAGATAAAGTATTAAGAACTCAAAATTCTCGTGACGGTCAACATGTTAATTTTTAATGTGCATTTAACTGACCGATTTAACTGATTTTATCGAATGTACAGGTTCTTAATGGAAATCAAGAGGATACTTGAAAAAGATGCGATAGTATTTTTATCATTAATCAAGTTAATTATTTATCGAATGATAATACCGTATGAAGTCTGAAATGTGGAATATTCTACTGCTACAATTGTTATGTAGTAGGTACTATGTTTATTGTATTAACGATAAGTGAATAATAGTATCGGTCGAAATATAATAGTATCAGTCGATGTACACAGAAGAGGTGATTGAATGATTCGTTGCTTAGTAGGGAAAGATTTATCAAAATGTTCACAGAATTATTAATTGTCGACCTGGAATTCCAAGGATCATTAGAGAATATGTTCGGCACCAATCCTGAAATTTGTGGTTATTTCGAGGAACATGGTGTTTATTGCACGTCTGATGTATTTACCTAGAAAAAGACGTCAGAAGGTAGTGTATGCAAAGTTATTCAATACCATCAGTCTTTCTTTACGCGTTTGTATTTATTTCTGCGTCACGTAGGCTTCTTCCTTTTAGCGAAAAATTTTAATGACAATGTCAATATTCCTGTAACGTCAACAACTTTGAATATGAAGCAAGTAATTATCGATATAAAAAGAGAAAAATAAAATAAAGTCATTACGTTATTAATGAAAAAACTGTTTTATACGATCTTGTTAATTGTTTCATTGAAATGTTTTCATATTTGGAATAAATATTTAATTTTATATATTGAAAAAAATGTTAAGTCAGTCATTATATAATATATATGGTAACAAATCACTAGTCATGATGACGCAAATGGTACACAATAAATAACGTGGTTAATCATCACGTACTGATAAAACATGTATGGAGATGATGCAACCCATATTTTCATTATCACTGCGATATGATCTATCACAGTTGGGAGAAACTCTACTGGCAATGTATTCTATTTTGTCCTTAAAAGGTTAATAATTGAAGTGTACGAGAAGAAAATCATTTTTAACGAATTTGATGCTAAATTTAACCCCTTCCCTTATCACTTACTTCTCAACTATGATCGATACAACTATTTTGCCATTAATAATTTGTCGAGAAAAGAGAGAAATTCTTGGTATATTCTACATGTATGTTTGCTCTGAAGTATAATTATTGATATTTAACAGAAGAATCATATTTAATTTGAATTCAAAGAATCTAGTAATATTTATGCGTGTTAAATTTTGTTCGAAATTTTCTGACACGTTGTTATAAAGCAAGGAGTAATAAATAAATAAAAGAAATGGAAAAATTGTATTGCAATGATAGCTGATACAATAAAATTGAATTTATCAATGTACCTGTGAAACTCAGATCGTAATATATTGCAGACAGTTCAGTTAAAAAGAAACCGGTTTGACATACTCCATAACGAAACCTTGTTCTATATAATGATATAATCTTTCAATCATCGAAGAAACTTGTCGAGAAAAACTGTCTACTTCCTGTCAGTTTTTCCATACTTCACGTGTTCTCAGTCTGTATGTCATCCTTTAATTTATAATATAATCAATACATTTTAAAATGCTTCGTCATTCCGAGTAGTTCAACATGTTCCCATATGTTCCCATCAAGAATTAATTTTCAATATGAAAATATATAATAGAGTAATTATTTTTTAATTATTAAAAGAGTAATTAAGATAAAAAATCAAAACCAGAAAGGAATTAAGCTCGATTTCAATCTTATTTCATGATAATGCTCGATTATCTCCACGAGCTGTTAAAATTCACATTCAAGTCGATTAGTTTAATAATTAAACTTATCATTTACATACTTAACGAAATAACATTTTATATTCTGTCGGTGAATTCGTTAATGAAATTTCCAATTCGTCTGGTTCATTTCGGTTACGAAAACTGAAACGATTTTCCAGCTTTCACTTGGGCTCGGCGAGGAATTTGATTCCGTGATCGGACACATCCGGTGATTTACGGGATCGTATTAGAAATCTAAATTCGTATCCCATTCGTTCGACCGTTCCTATTACCAGTCATCCGGGTTTTACGGTCTGATAGCGCCAGTCAAGAGAATCCGAGAATCAGTTCGCCTCTATCTTCACCGGGCGCAGTATTAAAAACGCGTTATCTTTGTCGTTCAATTATTCTGTGTGCATACCGAGTAAAATTGTAAGTGAACAGTTCCTTATCTTTGGAAAAATTAGACACAATTATTCATATTTGAAGTAGATGTCATTGGTACGCGTATCGCGTTAGAAATCAGTACAAAAAGTTGGCTAACATATTTTCAATGTAAACTCGTTTAAATTGTATCTTTATAATTAATATGTAATATCCCTAAAATATTTACGAGGTGAAGTTATTTAAAGTGTATTCTTTGAACGATAGATACAACGAAATCGAATCAATCTATTTTACGCTCAATACTTTGCCTTTCATGATTTTCACATTTCAATGCTTCTATTCACATGTTAAGTGCAACGAAAACTTTGGATGTTTTTCCATAGAGTTATCCTTTTGTAGCAAAGAAAAGCAGAAACAATTATTAATTATTTGGCGTTAGAATTCTTGCATTACGCTGTTATAAACTTAGTTACGTTATTACACATTTTCATTCATTATTATTCTTATCTTGTATGTTATCTATTATAACTATTATAACTTATCTATTATGGTTATCTTGTATGTCACAATTGTTTTCAAGTAATTCAGAAGCGACGAGCATCGATGACTGAACTGGCATTTAACGTGTTAAGAACAAATTACTTTCAACTCTATTCAGCTGGTGTCAGTATCGAAACGAGCTTCGCTTTTCAAAACCTCTTTAACACTAAAACTACCAGACGGATGAAAATAACCCATTCTTGATATCTTTTTTTTGTAATTATTAAAAAAATAGCCGATGTTTCTCTGAGCAATTATTAAATGAATCGATTTATCAATACGCACACTGAATTGTAAATCAATTAAAGTCTCGATAGATGCACTCTTGGAATTTCTATACAGAAATTTCAAAAAGTCAATGCCTCTCGTTGTTTTCGTCTCTTTTCTAATTCGACATTTGAAAAATTGAAATTAGGAAACCAATAACGTTATCTGTAGTATACGTATATCCTCTCGATATAAGTAGGTCTAATAACGATACGCACCGACCAGCAGTAATACGTGCCATGACGTGGTCCCGATGACTCTCGCAGCCAGCCGAACCGGCGAGCAGTAGTGACATCTTATTGTCCGTCGGCAGTGGTGTAGTTAAAGTGAGCGGTGACTGTAATCAGTCGACCGAAGACAGCCGAACGGCAGTTTCGGCAAGGACCGAAGAGTGAATTGACCTTTCGAAGAACGAACGCCACTTTGGAGCTGGAAGCTAGTTGCTAATTTCGAGTCTCGAACATCTACGTTTGAAAAATGAGACTCTGCTGGTTGACAGTTTTTAGTATACTGGCCTGCTGTTATTTCGGCAATGGCCTGAGAATACTTGGCCTTTTCCCGCTTAATGGGAAAAGCCACTGGGCGATGGGACAACAACTGTTCTTAGCTTTGGCGAAACGTGGCCATCAGGTGGACGTGATCACACACTTCCTCATGAAGAATCCGCCGCCGAATTACAATCAACTCTCCATCGAGAACAGTTTGCCACCGGCGGTGAACAGTATGCACGCGAACGACGCTGTCCAATTCAAGAACTTGGACTTGTCGTTACTCGTACAGATGACTGGTACGCGTATCTGCGAAACGTTGAACCACGAAAACGTTCAAAAGATCATAAAAAATCCTCCGAATGATCCGCCGTATGACCTTATTATAGTCGAGGTGAGAAACCGTTTATTTTGTATTTGGTATTTTGTGTTTTGTGTTCTTTAAGTTATATATTTATTGTTGGCGGTCTGTAAAGCGTATTTTGTATAAAAAGCGATTAGATTTAAATCTTACGTTTTAACAAGTCAAGATTTATTCTCGTGCATTTATACGATAAGACGAATGTCTTTGTTGTGGTAACCCAAATAATCCGGTACTGATAAGATTAAAGTACATTAACAGGTTCTCCACTCATGAGTTCAGTTTTTGTTGAAACTTCAATAGTTGCAGAAATTTGTATTGCACATATATTGCATAATTTGATATATTACTATAATACACTTTCTTTAAACATCAGAAATATTGTTTCAAAAGTAAATGAAATATTTAAACACTTGTTTCAAGTTGATAGAAACTGATGTATTAAACACTGCTGTGAGAAGTAAAATTGTCATGAACACCAGAGGCAAGCTTATAACCATAAATATAAATGATCTCTAATATTTTTTGTAAATAAACAATAGAGAAAATTAAATTCTTCTGGACTCCAATAGATCGCTTAAAATAATGAATAATTTAGTATTGAAATCTAATTGTTCAACTTTTCTCATTAGCTGAAGAGATTTTTAAATGTTCCTGTATTTTCATGCTTACAGTGCTATGATTAATTAGTATTCAAATAACAAATATTTTAAGATTATATTTGGTGTTTTAATGCGTGAAGTAACTTTTCAGCTTGGTAATGCTGACACGAAAAGATCCATGGTTGTATAATCTTAGATGACAAGAGAAAAACAAATGGAAGAAAAATGAATGGTTAATTTACGCTAGCCTTCGTGAATCATTATTGTATAATTGACACAAGAAGACTACGTATTCTTACAATTATCACGCACGGCGCTGGATAATCTTTGTATGGGTCGAAAGCAGTCTGTTCATATAATAGTTACATAATATTATTTTGCCGATTATCATTCACAAAGTACATTTACGTTAATACATTTTCCGTGTTATACTTTCACGTTGCATATTCCACAACTAGTTAAAACTGTTGCACAATGTTGTGATATCGCGATAATGGATACCTCTGTTACGAAAAAATATTTGTTATTCCAATTACGCTTGCATTCATCTCTATTCACGCAATGTTAGATTGACAATGACTGACTTGTTTATTCCAAACGTCCAATATAACATCAGTGATATGACAGTGTCTATACTCTATATCTACATACATTTATCTTTACAGATTTTGCATCTTCTATGCACTACGTTTATGTGCTGTCAGAGTTTCCGTATGATGAATTCGTAATTTGTTAGTTCAACGACAAGATCGAGAATTAAATAATTAACCCTTTGCACTCGGAATCCTTTGACTAGAAATATTCGACATTTCTCAAAGAGTTATACGCGACATTCCTTGAAACGAACTGAACGAGAGAACACGCATAAGTTAAGAAACAAAATTATTATTTCAATATTTCACATATTTATATATTACACGAAGCCTAATATTCTGCGTGAGACTTTATAATTCTGGTATATCGAATCAAATGGTAACAAAGTCATCTCTCGAGTGCAAAGGATTAAAGGAAAACTAATTAAATTCAGGCTACATGCAACTCATATTACAAATTTAACATGAACCTTTTATAATAATAAGTTAAACTAAAAATAAAATAATAGTTAATAATTTTCCAATATTAAATAAAGATAAAATTCTTCCTCAGATGTTCATGTCGCCGTGTTATCTAGCATTCGGCCGTCATCTGAACGTGCCCATAGTTGGCGTAGTCACTGCGCCGTTCACAGACTGGCTGCATGTTCCCGCAGGAAACTCGTACAATCCTGCTGTCACGCCGAGTATCTTCAGTTCCTATCCCGAGCGCATGGACTTCTGGCAAAGGCTGATGAACACCGTGATGGTGATCAAGATTGGTACGACTATCAACGGTAAATTGGAGGTACAACAGAGGAGCTATGTGAAAAATCACTTCAACCTGGACGTCTCAATGGAGGACCTTATAAAAGACGTATCTCTTTATCTGGTCAACTCACATCACAGCTTGAACGGAGTCAAACCGAGCGTACCGAGTATCATAGAAGTAGGCGGTCTGCACGTCAGCGAAAAAGCGGATCCGAATTCACCGGTAAGTTTCTGTGACTTTGAGATCCAGGTAAACTTGATGATTAGTTTCATTCCAATACATATGCATTTTATCAATTTCTATTGAAATTGCTCGTAACACCATAATTATAATGATCGCGGTATAATTCCTATTTCTGAGATCTCGAGAAAATGAGCTTTTATCGGTAAGATTCTTTGACCTGAGGATTGACCCCTTAAGGTTCAGGTAGACTCGGTAAATCAGTTTCATTTCAATACATTTTATCAATTTCTACTGGAATTATTCCTAATCCCATAATTTCAATGATAGTAGCCAGACTCCTATTTCTGAGCTCCCGGGAGAATTAGCTTCTGCGAAATGATCTTGGATTAATTAAATACAAATGTTACAATGTTATTAATAATATTAACCTCTTGCCCTGTGATTTTTTTTCAACTATGATCGATACAACTACACAGCCGTTAATAATTTATTACTCAACCAAAAAATGTATAATTTTAATTTATTTAAACAGAAGGAGTTAAATTCTAGGCACATTTTGTGTTTACGCTTGTTTTAAAGTATAATGATTGATTACAGAAGAATAACATTTAATTTAAATTCCAAGGAATTGAGTAATATTTATGCTTCTCAATTTCAAGGAGTTAATTATTAATAATTATTAATATTAGTATTTACTTAATCATCCATGATCAGAAACCTGTTGTACGCCAAATACTTTCATATTTTCACTGGGTTTTTATAGGAAGTCGAGAAATGGCTGAATGAGAGCACACACGGTTGCATCTTATTCACGTTCGGCTCCATGGTGAGGATCGAAACCTTCCCGAAAGCCTTCGTGGAAATTCTTTACGCAACATTCGAGAAGATTGCACCAGTGAGAGTGCTCATGAAAGTGGCGAAGAAAGAAGATCTGTTACCGGGATTGCCGAAGAACGTCATGATTCAACCTTGGTTCTCCCAAATCTCCGTTTTCAGTGCGTGATCGAACTTCGGTTTCGTTCATTGATTTTGAACCACAAGAAACGAATAAATCATTGAATTTCAGAGCACAAGAACCTAAAGGCATTTATAACGCACGGTGGCCTGATGAGTTTCCAAGAAGCGTTGTACTTCGGTATCCCAGTAGTCGGCATTCCCATTTTCGGTGATCAATCCAACAACATGGAAAAGGCTGCTCGCAAGAATATCGGCGTGACTCTCGGTTCACCAGAGAACGTTACCGTGGAAACGCTCTCTCATGCGCTCAACAAAGTCTTATACGACGAAACGTATCGGTACGTATTTGCGTAATTGATAATAAACCATGAAACGAACTATATGACACGGTCTTCGAATATGAATTATATAATAGAACTTTACATGAATTTATGGTAAAACGATCGCTCGTCGATTTCGTAACTTCGTTTCTTACGTTGATTGGAATTGAATCTACGTACATAAAAAATATAAAGAGAATCAATTAAAAAATTTCGGTTAGTAAAGACGTCAAAAGCTAAAAGGATAGATGAAGTCTTTGAAGACCTGTTATTTAAACACCAAATGATAGGAGTTTACTTATAAGATAATTATCTTAAGTCTATAATCGTCTTATAATCGTAATTAATTTTCCAAATTTTCAAACACTGCATTTAGATAAAGGATATAAAGAGGACTAATTGAAAAACTTCAGTGAATAGAGACATCAGAAGCTAAAAAAATAAACAGCAGTATATTTGTAGGATATCTTCAGCCTGTATATGGTTTTCAAATTACAATTGATGTATCAAATTTTCAGAGAAAATATGAAGAAGACCACAGAACTATTCAGAGATCGTCCGATGAAAGCAATAGATACCGCAATTTTTTGGGTTGAGTATGTCCACCGGCACAAGAACGCGCTGCAATCGCCTGCCATATATCTCACCTGGTGGCAACAAAACCTCCTCGACGTCTACGGGTTTCTGTTCGCATGCTTCGCGGCAGTACTTTTCGTCGTTATTCTCGTTGTTCGAAAGTTAATGAGACTGTTTCTGGGTTGTAAATCCTGTTCCAAGGACAGCAAAACATCTGAGTCGAAAAAACAGAAATGAACGTGCCTTGAACGCTGCAACCTCATCGGCTAGGTTTGTGCGCGACAGGAAGTGCGAAAAAATGGACAAGACGTAAGAAGAACTTCGTGAAAGTCCAGTTTATGAGATTTTTCTATAGATTCGTTGAAAGAGAATAATAATAAAGAGAACGTATCAACATTCATGGTTGCTTAAGTGATCACTTACGAATGGTGCTTTCTCGTGCCAATTTTAGTCCGTCGAATTACAAACGCGTTTGCACGTAAATGTAAACCTTTTTTTATATGTAATATTTTGTATAAATAAAGGCGATTAATGTTATGGAAGATTTGCGGTCTGTGCTGGACACCCCTGATGCTTTTTCTAGGACTTATTCGAATTGATCCACAGTTTTGTTACTATTGTTAGTTTTCTGTAATGAAACTTCGAATGACGGTGATATAACGAAATAATAGATACATTGGTTCAGCGTTTATTTTCAAGAAATTAATTAAAATATAATTCTTCGGTTAGTATATTCTCTAGTAATTGCTATTCGTAATATTCTCCGCCATGTTTCTGTTAAAGGCGGAAAATGAATTACATTTGAATTATGTAGTTGTATTATTGAAGAAAAATGAATTGATTGTTTCAGAACATTTAAATCCTACCTGGTAGTGGTGTTGAGTTCATCATCTGCAAGTCGAAACACTTTTGCTCTCTTTCGAGCAGAATTCGGCGGAGGTCCTCCTCCAATAGGGTGCTCCCCACTGTCGTATTCGACGGCATCTGCCAGGAAGAAATTTTCAATGAAGTTTTGATGAATTAATTGGGATCAATGGTAAATCATTTACTTTACAATGATATAAATAAAATGAATGACTTTATAAGAAGTCTCCTAAAAAATGTAGAATATGAGCTGTGATAACGGTTGACACAGAAAATTTAAAAGATACTTTCTAACTGGACTTGAAAAACATAATTACTAATCTTTAGTTAAAAAAGATAATTACTAATTTTTAGTTGTAAAAGATAATTACTAATTTTTAGTTGCTAATGTTTTTTTATGGAATAAATAAAAAACACGCGAACAATCACATATAAACGGTTTAATAAAACCGGTTTAACAAGTAAAATGTCTGTCCACGTATGTCGATTATGTTTAGCGTGAATGAGTATACCATTATACATATTTGTGATTTCACGTATAGATTTTCTTGACTCCCGTTCATTGTATCACTTTCAAACAACTTTTATCGACAGACACGAGTATTATTAACTATTTATATGAGCTTCTGTGAAATATAAAATCATTTCAGAAACACCTGGATTTATTTTATTATATAACGAACGAATGGAATGTGGTTTAACATGATGCAAAATAATATTAATATATTACCGTTAAACAAATAATCCCTGGTTTTATGGACACACCATTTAAATGCGCCGCGAACGTAAGGCAAATAACTGAAAATAAAAACAAAAGAGAAATGAAAAAATTAGCCATTGACAACTGAAAAATTAAATTTAACAAAATGAAGTGATTGTACAGTTGTTTCGGTATTTCTGTCCGAGACACGATTAATTTAATAAATAATATCAGGATAAATGTTTCCATATTCACGGTGAACATTTAAACAATTAATTTTCAAACAACAAGGGAAGTCGTCATTTAATTAGGCGAAACTCGCAAAAGGTTAATTAAAGGTTAATCAATTTACCGTTGCGTATCGACTCTGATAATCCAACAATTAATCTGTTCGATGTGTTTGCGGACAAATCAATACACTGTAATCCATCGATACGACCCTCAATTCAGTTACCGTTAATTTCTTCTATCACGTCTATTGTCCTCAAACATCACACCAGAATATTAACATTTCATTTGATTAAAATTAAAATTAAAGCAGAACTTCATTCTTTTCATTTTCTTGTCGCGAAGTTCCGAAAAGTTAGAAGTTAAACAGGAAAAGTGACCTGCCAAGAATAAATTAATCTTAAAACGGCACGGTATGAAGCAATTTAGAACAGAAAATTTTGTTTTCCGAGTATCAATGAATTCTTTGACTGATTAAAAGTTTATTCATCAAAAACTCCAATTGCAGAGGTAGTTATAAAACGCTGCACAAAATTGCACGAGTTTCACGGCTCACCTTGAAAGTGCCATCGGAATTATTGTCACACTTGTACGCCATATGCGCTCCATATGTTGTTATTGTGCGAGGATGTTGCACCACCAGGTTCAAGAAACGTAGCAGTAAAACCTTACGTGCACGCGATAATTGGTAAATAAAAATAGAAATAACTTTCTAATTAACTCTTTACGGACGAGAAATTTGTAAACGTTTGAAATCATTTTCCATAAAGAAGCTGAGTTAGAAGCATCGAAGTCTTAAATACTAGAAAAAGAAAACTACATGCCAGTCTCTCGTTATTTGAATAGTTAGATTATTCACTTGTAGCTTCCGAATTTAGATAACGAAGCTCGAAGTCTCCATTATGGCGGCATTCGACCGCAAAGGGTTAAAATGCACAATTTCAGTGGCCGCAACAGATACGCGTAAATAAACAAAATCTGCACATCATTTTCATTAATCATCTGTCAGTAAATCAGCATATTGTTTTATTTTCTTAAATATTATTTTTCTGTAACAAAAACTGAGCACTTAAAAAGGTTTCTGAAAAATAAATTACAAATGTTCAATTTTCAGATTCAAGTTCAGATTGAAAAATTTCCGAGATCAAATTTGTATGGAAATTTAAATGCATTCGGATCGCTTTGCGCAATCGAAAATTAAATAGTAAATATACATCGTCTACCGACAACGAACAGAGAACGTTTCTAAAGTCGGCCAGGAGTTTCAGTAGATACACGTGTTGCGGACGATCGTGGCAAGCCCGACGGATTCAAATCACCGACACGTACAAATTGAACGCGCGATTAGATGCCGGCAAATCGCCGGATAAGTGGAATTGTGGATCTCGTGACGAATAATTGTGAAATTTCTAGCTCCTGGTACCCCAACGCCAACGACGAGTAATGGATATCGGTGATATCACGATGAAACTATCCAGTAACAAAATTTAACCATCTGCATGGTTATATTAATATATAATTTTATTATATTAATAAAAACATCGTTAAAACTTGTAAACTTAAATATCAAATTGAAATTTCAAATGTAAATTTCAAATATAACCGGTTCAACTCGAAATAATTGAAGTTTCAAATTCTTGCTAATCGCGTTAAAAAATCTAACGATATTTGTTTACCAGTCCATTCAAATTTCACTAATTAAACTCAACCATTTAATCCGAGCTGCCCTGATCACATTTCGAAATGTTCCCAATTGAATGAACTGAACAAAAATGTCGTTCGGTTCTTGCTAAACGCATTTAACAATTCGTTTGTCCGAATGTTGTCAGTCATACGCGTTTTATTACGAATTCGCTGGAATTTTTGCGGTAGTATTTAATTACAACACCCTTTGTACTTCGATAATTACATTTGTCGACAATTCCACTCGGAACGTTGCTAACTACGTTCGGTGGCAATTTCGTAAATTTTTTTTCTGTCACGCGAGTGACACAATCGGCGCCGTGCTTCATCCAGCAGGCACACGCTATCGATACCGGTATTGATGTGTCACGTGTACCTATGTACGTCATTTGCATGCAACAGTACGCACACACGCGGAATTCGACGCAGGCGGTATCGGTATGCAGCTCCGTTCCATCTGATTCCCCGCTGTTCTGTGTGTAACTGCGCGAGATCGAGCCAGTTACGTTGACGGACTGCTTGTTTCCCATCGATCGAAGACTTCGATGCAACAGCGGGCCGTCGGATCGTTCGAATCCTTCGATAGCTCGCACGCGATATGGTAATTATTCTAATTCGTACCAGTCAACTAAATTACGAGCTGCAAAAAAAATCAGACAACAATGGGATCAAGCTAAATCCTCGAGATTTTATATGTATTTTATATATGGTTCGAAACCTCGGGAAATGTAAATAACAGCAAATTGGTCGAGATATCTTACTTTACATTTATTTGGAATTTTATGTTATTTTAGTTTAATATAATTTTGTAATATATTATAACAATTTTCTTGTAAATTTAACAATGAACTTGGCAGATCCTTCGTGGACGAGGATCTTTGAAAGTACGAAAATATTCTTCGTAGAAAGATAAATTATTGATACATCAAATATTGAAATTGAAAAGTATTATAGAAAACTATACATCGGTTTATTTTGATTTAAATGATCAAATTGATTGCCTGCAATCTTCGATTCTATATACGAAAATCTGATATCAATATGATAATGTTCACCCTCAAAAGGTTAATTTTGTAACGTGCTGCGTGTCGTGTGAAGTTAAATCAACATCAGACTGATGATAGTGCGGTATAATGTAATTGATTTCAACGTACAGATACGGTATATCGTAATATGTTTCATAGATAAATAGAAGTGTTGTTTATGGTAAAGTTAGAAATGGCAATAAGAAAATTCTCGAGCTTTCCTTTTACTGAAACTTTCTCGTATATTTGAAACTGTCCTTATCGAGCGGCCAAATGGTGATTCTACACGAAAAGCTGAATAAAAAATGCTGAAGAAACTTTTTACGTTTCCCGCCTGGAGAAAATCTAGTTTCGCTTGTCGAGCACGCATTCAGCAAACTGTCCGGCGGAACGCGTTCGAACCGGAACTCGAACTTTTAGAATGAAAAATTTGCTTGTGCGATTCGACTTATTGGCCTGCAATTTTCTCTGTTCATAATTCAATCTTAATTTTAGTTTGTAAATAAATAGGAACAAAAATTGAATCATCGATCAAACGAAATAAATGAGATTTAATGTTAACCCTTCACAATCGTGAGACGGACTATACACGACAGAACATTTTCATCGTTCTGCTCGAATAAAATGAAAATAATTAAAAAATAAAGTTACAAACTATAAATAAAAATTGAAGAACTGAAATGTTCATTATTAAAATAATTTATGTAAAACAAAGATATAATATTATAGGAGAAAGAGAATATTTTATTTCTATAAACAATATTTTTATGCATTATATTATACATTTATATATTAATTGTTTATTTATTGACTAATATTATTATTATAAATATTATGAAACGCTTTCGAGAACATTCTTTTGTCACCATGCATTAACTTCACGTACATGTGGAATATCATATTACAGAAAATCAATTTAGTCTAGAATATACCAATGGCTTGAATATTTATTCGAAATACATGCACAGTATGTACATCCATTCCCATAATATTCTGTTAACTCTGTCGTCTCAAATGGTACACATAGATACCATGAAATTTGAAATTACTGGAAAGTTATAAAACATCTAGATAAAGGAAAATTGTACCACGAGGGGATTTTTGCTTATGGCTGACAGCTTAAGTGTTGATCAGCTCTCAGTACATATGTTTTAGTTGATTGTTGCGTAGCCGTAAGTTTCTTTCGCAGAATTTATATAAAAGAAAATACATGTTCAAGGACGAAAGGATGAAATTTCTATAAAATTGAAAAACAAATCATCAATTTCATTCGCACATCGTCATTAGTAATGTGATACAGTCACGGATAACAAAAGAATTATCAACACTGAAACTACCAAGAAATTAGAGTGACTTATTTCCAATTTTTTATAAAAATTAAAACACTACGTTCCTTGAGATTCGAAGGATCTCCTAGTCTTGTATCTGTGCAAATACACGGGTTTAATTGAAAATCTTTCGCAAAAGCTTCTCCATAATTTAAATATTTCAAAATAAAAATTCTGAAGTGGATAAATTTGATCCGTTCGGTAGTTTCACTGTTAAACATAACTAAGAACTCCGATGGGAATAAGGGTAGTTGATATTTCCAGTTGAGCTGCTCCGAAATTCAATTACCCTGCCGGAAGATGTAAACTAATAACACAACGACCTGAGACGATTCGTTATAAGGCGTGACATTTCTCTCTTCCTCCACTTCATCCCGACATATCCATTGCAATTTCACAATAAAATATTCCGTGAAACGAAACAAGGTTACGCCGTGGGAAGTACGGAAGGACTATTATTTTCCTTAAAGCGAATGTTATTTTATAAAGGTGTTCCTTCACCTCGGGACTTAGAGTCGCGAATGCAATTCAACCAACCGAGTCGCGGCCACCATCGACTCTGTGTCCGGAAAAGAATGGAATTCGTTATAGGAATGAGGGAAATGTTCGCAGGTCGTAGAGTGAATTATCGGGCCAGTTATTGTGGAATTTCATTTCGCGGTTTCATGCAAAACCGTTCTCGCGTGTATCGGGAATATTCCGGAGATATTTGATAATTTATCGTAATTGAAGTTATGATTTCTGAAACAGCACTAGTCCATGGGCTTTCAAGGCTTTTTATAGAAAAACCTAATACATGTATATGTGTAACGTATATTTACAGCAAAAATATTT